CCCCTACCCCCACCCCCCCCCCCCCCCCCCATTTAATGTGTTGAAAGCACACAATTTTAGGTCTATTTCCTGTCTAACTTGGTCCTGATGTAAACACAACTATCATGCATTACGTGATCCGGTAATTGTCTGGTGACTTCAATCAGTCCATTTTCTCCCTAAATCATTCTTGATATGAACATATTATTTCACATTAACCAGAAAATGCAATTACCCCACAATAACGACTATATTTCCAAGGTATTCAAAACGGTATTAATTCCTCCATATTGAAAGCCTTGATTCCATCAGCCACCTGTTCCCTAGTACATTTATTACCTGTTCGGGGCAAGTGGGATTTCAATTCATCGCCATTTTTCACAGGGAATAAAAAAAATCCTAATAATAGATCAGTTGCAGAGGATGGAACATTATTCTGTGTGGGCTGATCAATAAATGTAACATGCTACATAGGAAATGGGTTGATATTTTCTCCTTTGAAGTGGGCATAGTCATATTTCATATTAAGGCATGGGGAATTGGAGTGGCCTCTTTCAAAAAGAAAAAAAAAGGATCAAAAAAAGGGAAAAAGAAATGATAAAATACAGACATTTTAAAATTGTAAGAGGAGATTGAGGAATGCAAGTCACGCAGGATGATGCTGTTGCATTTGATTATAGTCTGGATAAAAGTAGGCCATTTTTTCATATTTACAGAAGTGATCATCGCTGTGTGTGTAGAGTGGAAGGGGGTGAACACATGTTCATAGGTATATTCACACGTGTGTGCTTGTACGCAAGTACCTGAGATAGAGAAATGTGTGTGTGTGTGTGTGTGTGTGCACGTGCACTCCTGTGTATATATACCGATATATGTGTATTTGTGGATTTGAGAGAAGTATGTGTGTGCGTGTGTGTGCATGTGTGTGTATGTGCATGCGCTCTTGAGAAAGAGCCTCAGGAAGATGAAAGAGGGTTGGTGCACTGACGAAAGAAGCAGAGCCTAAAGTGTCAAAAATCATTTAAAAAAAAACATTATAAAAGAAACCCTACATAAATAAATGTGCACAAAATATCACCAGACATTGAACCCTCTATCAAAAAGGTGACATTTATCTTGACCTCTAAAACATGTCAATTGCTGTACTTCCACCCTCTAATTTATGAATGAGACCGCATTCTGTTCATGAATATTCATAATATAGTAAATATTTGACAGCTGGTAGCTAGAATAAATATGTGCTTTGTCACCACCAAAACAATGGCAGTCTACCTGTAAACTCACCTGTTTATACTCACCTGTCAGTAAGTATTAAATGTACACAGAAAAAATGACACATAGGATGTGCAATGCTGGTGTACCATGTTTGCTTCTACATTAGCACTGTGTTATCAATGTTATTCTATGTGGAATGAGGGAATTTTATATCACTGCCATTTTGCCTGTTATCATAATTATTTTCATAGCTACTCTAGATTCAGTTCCCGAGTTACCTGTAACCCCCCCCCCCCCAAGTTAATTACGTATGCCTCCTACAGAAGCCTGCCTTTATTGTCAAATAAGGTGAGCATTCTTTACAAAAACAGAGGGAAATTGGGAGGTTCTATTTTTTGCCGCATTAATTCTAAATGTGCAAAATTCACGCCTGTCAAATTAAAAACACGGACCTCAAAAATGTCTCTCCTTTGCGGAAGTCATGACATTTTCTCCGTTAATGCCACCTGTTATAAGATAAGAGCGATGCAGTGGCTGACCCTGACAGAAGGAAATATCAGGCCAGTTTCAACATTATGAAGCTTAAATGTTTAACACAATTTACCACATATATACGTGCAAACCTTCAGGAGATGAATCGCAGACAGAATTAAGACGCTTGCAGTTTACCCCCCCCCCCCCTCCCCCAACACTCCCTGAAATCGACACGGGACTCCTTTACAACATGGCGGGCTGTTTCGGAAAAATCAACTGGGCGATATATTACCTGATGAGCTCCTGTTCCTTCTCTTCTTCCTCTCTCTGTCGGTTGAGCACGGACTCTATGATCTGTCTCTCTTCTTCTGAGAGATGGCTGAGATCCGGCATAGGAGGGAGAGACGGTCGCCGACTCATTCTCCCGACTCTGTCTCTCTCGCTCTTTCTCTCTTCCCAAATGCCTATCTATCTATCCGTCTTGCCTACTTCGTAGGCCTATCGATTCCAGTCACAAATACAGGCCTCGCTCTCTCTCCAAACAAAATCGAAGTCCTCTTCAATATGGCCGAATTCCACCTGCTAATTTCATCTGCAGTTAGTCAACCCTGTCTACTCTATCCATGGCGAGGTAGCTGCCCGATTTTCTTGGTCAAAAACTCAGGAACGTCGGCCGGGAAAACGGTCCATTTCGCCGACCAGTTCTCACCCACCGTCGCAGCGATGATGGCTGGTTTCTGCACAAGTCGTGTCGTCATTCGATCGAAAATGTATGCAACTGGCTTTAAATAATTAATTGCCTTTTCTCCAATAGTATCAGCAGTTCCAGTGACGTACGAGAATGGCTGTCCAACTCATTTGGCGTGTATACATTGTGGTATCGATTTTTCTTCCTCGGTGCTGAATTATGTTTAATATTGAAGAATGCGAAGCTTGCGCAGCTGTTTGGATGCGAGTCACACCGCGGAAAATGTTGTCTCTAAAACGCAGTCAAAATGCGACACTTCTAATTTTTTTGGCGTCTTCCTTCACTGTCGAATGCGTTGTCAGTCCATGAAATATTTCATCGTTACAACTTCCAGACATTTATAACGGCCGTCGTCCATCAAGAATTGATAGCGGTTATCAGAAAATTTCTCCCAGTAGCCACAACATGTAAAACCTATAAAGATAGTTTTTTTTTTCAGGCTAACTCTGAGAACTTAGAAGTCCACGTTATGTTAGAGAAAAATAAATCATAAATCACAAATTACCGAAAACGATACAATGAAAAAATAATTATCCCGTACACGAATCAGTAAATAAGAATATTTCTGCCCGTCGCACCTGTTTCAGGGCTAATAATATCAACTGTCACGTTGGTTCACTTAAAATAGTTCTCCGTTATCGGACTTATCTGTAATGGAAACGCTGGCGCGTGCGTTGCACAACGTATTAAACCTAACTTTAATCCTTTCTAACCCCATTCCTTAGTAACGTTTAGATCAGTCATTGATGATAAGATAAATCTTTTATGTGGCGACGGAGGTAACCAAAGCATCGACTTAATATGTGCTATTTCGCGAACGCTGGGAGAAAACGTTTTGTATGTAGTTTATCCAAATGTACCTAAATCTTTCGTTCTGATGAGGACAGATAAGTAGCGTTGCCTTCTTAGAATTAAAAGGGAGGGTTTAGTGTAGCGTTATTAATAAAACTTGTAAGATTTGATGAGTCTTTCTTTTATTCATCTAGAATATTACAAGAAAGGAGTTTTAAAAAGAATCGCCTTACAGATAAAATAATTGATAGGGCATTAGTGGTGAAATAAGCTTCCTTTTTTAGAAGCATTTCCTTCAGAGGTACACAGTACGTGTAAGGTAATATCACTGAGTCGTTTGGCAAAACTTCCCACAGATAAGAAGGAAAAACTATATTAAAATGAACACGACACTTTTCTACTTCAAGAAATAAATAAAGTGACGGGAAAATAAGAGCAAGTATAATGAAAGTTCTTCCCCTTGATAGGATATTTATGAAGTTTTCCGGAGGAAGGTTGGGGGGCAGGCGGGATGTATTCGGCTGGTTAAAATTTTCCATTCCTCTACAAAGTTGTTCTTAAAATTGACTGTACATTAAATATGCTAAAAATAAGACCAAATTAGGTTGAGATGAAAAGGATTGAAAGTACAGATAGAAAGAATTCAGGAAAAAAGACCTGCTTTTTATTCAAACGCTGCTGAACGACCCTCGTTTACTTAATAAAATAATAAAAATTAAAAAAAAAACTCACGAACTTACTTGAAAAAAAAAACTAATTTAGGAGGCGAGGTAAGGGTTAAGTAGCGTTTTTGAGCGTTTTCCTGTAATATCCGACGTGATGGCTTTTATAAAACATTGTATGCAAATAGGCTTTGTTGTTTAACGATCCTTAGCTATTACTTATTTTGTAATCTCATATTTTATTTATGAGCATGTATCATCTAAATTTAGTTCTGACTAATCAGTCTTTAGCCGCCGTGAGATGTTCTAGCTGTGATGCATCAGATGAGCGGTTGAGAAAAGTCTTGTGTTATTAGAAGTTGCATTAAGGTAGGGATGTAGGTTGGATATTTTACATTAAAATAAAGGTCTTCGCTTTTTTTTTTATTATTCCTGTTACATTAATTTACTGTATCTTTAATACATCTAATTATGCTTGAAAAACAGCTCAAACTTCGTCGTGTAAAAATGTTTCTCCGTTAAATGTTAGATAGATATTTGATCAATAATTAGACATAACCCCCCCCCCCAAAAAAAAAAAAAAAAAATGACGATTTTTAGCCCTATTGAGGTACATCCCTACCTGAAACCTTCGACAAGTACAAGTTTTACCGTCTTAGTTCATTTTTTTTATCTTCAAACTCTTACATGCTTAAGATTCGTCCATAGTTTAAGAAACATACTGCAAAAAAGCATTTTTTTCAGAATAACAATTATGAGAACTGAGACAAGATGCTTTTGAAATTTTATTTTACATTGAAAAAAAACACACATAATTTTAATCCTATACAATCTTATATGCCATCTTACATGTCATCAAAGTCTCCATAGTTACAAAGTTGTATTCTTCTCTGAAAATTAAAATTTCAATGTACACGTAAATACAGATTGTGCCGGTTTATTTTTTGATAATAATGAAAATAAATAAACTTATAATAATAATAATAATAATAATAGTTAAATATACATTTCAAAAGAATAAGTGGTATGAAGACGATCAAAATTGCTATTTTGATTAGTTAAAACTATTTCATAATATTTTCTGAATAATCAAATTACTTAAGAATCTTGAACGGAATGCCTTTTTTAAAGATGCAGAATAATTTAGGATAATGAAGAATGCTTCTCTTTGTTCCAATAAACAGTTCTCTGCACACTGGAATTAATTTGCTGCACATCATTTCAAGATTTTCTTTTTAATATGAAACACACATAGTAAATTTCTGTTTAAAATATACTTTAAATAAATTTAAGTTAATCTAATGTGTGAAATCTTTTGACGTCATTCGACTATGGAAAGGGGGGGAAAAAGGCTTAAAGGACGGAAACGATAATCCTGCACAGTAATTCAATCTTAAAATATGATTATTTTTTTTACGATTTAAGAAAAAAATGCATATGAATATGAATCTTAGCAATCAAATACCTCATGTATCAAATACACATGTACAAAATTGAGGAAATTTTGAGAAAAAACAGCATCACTTTTGTGTTAAAATATATCCAACATATGTCTTTTCAAAATATTATCTTTTAAAGTCCAAAAATTTGGTAATGCTGAAAGCAATTTTAAATCGCTGTAAAAATACTTCTTCTCCTTTAAGTATGCATCATGTATCACATCTGTAATGACTTCAGAAATTCTATTCGCAGCTCATAGTCATTGTTGTCTTCACATTGGACTATGACACAGTGGACAGAAGTTACGACTCTGCACCTCCTGCTCGTAAGCGCAGTGCTTGCACGTGTTGCACACCCAGAACTGGTAATCCACTAACGTACGACCTGTCGCAATGCACACTGGTAACTTGGGGTCCCTGGGAAAAGAAATATCACAGTCTTTAAAGAAATCTAAATCTATCCAAAACATATCTGACTAAGAAATTCTAAAGTTGCATTAACTGTCAGTCTTTGCATGCTATAACATATTATAGATAAGTCACAAAATTATGAATTGAGTGTAATTTCTGTAATTGTGTCATTTACAAAGTGTGTATGAGAGAGAGAGAGAGAGAGAGAGAGAGAATTTATCGTACATTATCAAATCATACATAATGTACACACTGTATGAAAATGTGTCTTAGGCTGTATTCCCAGAGCTTTTAGATCGATCTATCCCCGCGGGGAGTCTCACTTGATTACTGTCAGATAATCCGGCTTAAATGTCCGTTCCGCCTACTACAAGCTGTAAGGGGGTAATTAACTTTCGTGTCCGCTCGACTGACAGCTATTTAGCGTGAACCCCCAGGGAGTTAGGTCGATCTAAAGTAGATCGATCTAATCTCTGGAAATGGGGTCTTAAAGTTTTTGTTGCAACCTACCCTTCAGCCACGAGGTTAGCGTAGTTGGCAGCATCTGACCTCGTGTTCTTGCTGTCCTTAGGACTGTGCCTAGAGAGACAAATAAATAAATAAATAAATGAATAAATAAATAAATGAAAAGCTGGTTTCTTGGTATATGTTTATGTAAAGAAATAGACAATGATGCATTATTATTTTTTTTAATATATACGCACTCAACCAACGCATCTCACTGAATGAAAACAATGAAAATAGCTACTAGTAACTTAATTCATAAATAAACTGCTAAAAAATGAAAAGAATTTTAATGCAAAAAAAAAAAAAAAAAAAAAAAAAAAAACAATAATGACTCAAATACTTTGCTACATGTACTGACAAGATTCTGACAGGAATCCTTAAACCTCGTCTTACTTTGTAAATATATCCAAAGCCAGCTGTTCATACTGTGATTTCCCCTCTGGACTAGCACTTTCTATAGACTCCAGTTTAATGAAGGCCTTGGAACATGTACCAAACGCTCTGTTTGCTGCACTTGATAAAGCTAGGGTGGCATTGAAAAGAATATATATCATATTACATGAAATGAATAAAAACTGTTTGAAAATGCTTCTTGCCTGGATTAAAATTAAAGATGTACCTCTCATAAGCTTAATAAATGCTTTAGAACATGCATCAATTACTGTTTACTACACTGCTACACTGGATAATGCCATAACAGTTAAAAGTGTGTGTGTGTGTTTTTTTTTGTTTTTTTTTCGGTTAATAGCCACTGTGACAGTTTCTGTTTTGCACCAGTAGGATTTCAGAATCCAAGGTCCTGGTGACTCAAAGGAACACCAAGCTAAAATGTTTTGAGTAAAAACTGATTTACTTTTTCCAGCTTAATATAAACATACAGTACCTATCAGGGAATAAGCTTTGATGGGGTCGATGATGTCCTCGTAGTCTCTGAGCTGCAGAGCTGTGTTCATGGCAGCATCCACATAACCTAAAATATAAAGTTGAAATAGTTATAGTAAAATGTGTAAATTGTTTAACTTTAGAAAAAACCTCACTTTTGCTGGCTTATGAAAATGTGACATTGTCAAAATTATTATTGTAATTGAAATATATTTAGTTTAAATAAAAAATAATAATTTGGTTCATAATTTTTACTATCAAATTTCCAGCTATTAGTCAAAACAAACAATGAATAATTTAAAATAATTGTATAAACTTAATTAAATAAAATAGTTAAATAATAAAAGTTGAAATAAAAAAAATAAATAAATAAATAAAATAACCCCAAAGGGCCTCCAGAGCAAGGTTCCCTACCTTCATAGAGCTGTCTCTGTGCCAGGAGATAGAAGTGGTATGCCTCTGCCCCCCTCCAGGCATTATCTATAAGCTTTGTGTCTGATATAGAGGCTGAGTCTTCCTCAAGAAGTCCTGCTAGGGCTGAGGTTGCCTGAAATAGTTCAAATAACAGTCACTGTCAGAGTTCTATAGTGGTTTCCACATGTAACGTCATTTGTAAAGAAATTAAACATACGATCCTAATATAATTTTAATGTCTCGTCAGAACAGTCTTAAGAAAGCCTGCAGCCGAGATGGCTGTAGCTTAATGATGAGAAATTCCAGCTTGTGCTAAATAATTAGTACATATGAAAATTAAACATCTGCCTATGAGTCATGGCATTTCAATGAAGGGCAGAAACACTCAGAATAATGGGATAATACATTAAGTCTCTTTAAAAACAGTGGACTTTTTACCATCCTTACACAAGAGACACAGAAAAACTTATTTCACCAAAATCCCAAATAATTTACATGGTCCCATACCTCTCTGGACTTTCCTTTAGCCTTGGACTTAGAGGTGGACTTCACGTGTTCGTGGTACTGCTCGATAAGAAGAGCGGCTAGGACGTACAGCTTCTTGATCCGCAGTGGTTTGCTGCCTTTCTGAGCTTCCTCGTCAGCCACCTGAGAAATGAAAGAAATTAGAATCAGTAAGGAAAGTTATTAAAAATAAAAACAATAATGAAGAGTTCTTCAAAATTGTGCTTAACCGGTGTAAGTGCTGTGTGTAATATGTTGATGTTCCACAAATAACAAGAAAAGTGTGACATTAATTTTCTTTTAAGTCAGAAATTAAAGCAATCAGACAGTGCCAAAAAAAGGTCAGTTCTCATTATATATAAATATATAATGAGAACTGATAAATTTATCTATTTATTTAATGGATCACTACCAAAATCTAACCAATCCTATATAAGCCCATTTCTGACTTATCCTAAAAAAATTATCAACTGAAAAGTCATCCATGACATTTTGAGTAGAGCAGTTAACTAACAAACCAACTAACATAAAGGCAAAGTTAATAATAAGTGAAAATAAGAATTGCACTGAGCTTACCTTAAACAACAACTTGGCACCCTCTAGGTAATGGCTGGCCTTTCTATACAGTTCAATGGCGCTGAGTTCCTTCTTCTTCTCCAGCAGGTGCTGCGCGTATTTTGCCAGCAGGGAGTCGATCTCTTTGATGTTGTGCTGTTTGGCCAGGTCGATGGCTTGATTCCACTGGTTGAGGTGGACACATGCATCTATGGCCTGCTTTACACGGTTACACTATGAATAAATGAAGTTAAGAGGATGAAATAATTTAAGTTATATATATTCATGTCTTATGAACTGTAAAGTTGCACTACTGCTTGATATTACATGTACTAACTAATGATTATTAGCATTAGTATTATTAGCATTATTGTTATCCATTTTATTAATACCAATTTATTGTTATCATGTTATATCTCCAGAGGCAAACATGATTTTTACCATTATTAATATATCATTTTCACAGATACAATAATAATAATAATAATAATAATAATAATAACATTATCATTATAAATATTATTATCATTATTAGTAGTAGTAGTAGTACAGATGCTATTAAAACCACTGATGTGTATTATTACCTTAATATAAGCCTCCACTCCCTGTTCACACATTCCCACTGTGACAAACATGCCTGCTATCTCCTAAAAATACATGAAAATATTGCAAGATTTTGAAATATGGACCTTTATAAATTATTTATTGTTGATATTTCTTGCTCACACAAGAACCAAACCTAGCTGCAAAATGTTTCAGCTTACCACTTATCTCATTATATAATTCAATAAAATTTCCATTATTTTTCAGTTATCAATAATAACTGGCATAACGTCTACCTACAGGCAGTAGTTTATGGTTCTCAGGTAAGAACTGTACCATCTTCTCCAGACCCTGGTAGTCTTCCAGCATATAGTAACACTCTGCCAGACGCTCCTGGTTCCTGCCTTGGACGTAGTAGGTCACTGCCTGCTGCCTGGGAAGTGATTTTTATATTCATATTATAATACTATCATAATTTATATTATTATTTTTATGCAAGTGTTTTTATATGAGGTGTATGACATGGACATTATACATAAAAGGTTTCAAAACTGCCTGATGACAAAGTCAAGCATTTATCGGATGCTTCAGATTCTTTCCCTTGTGTTAGGAAAACCTCTCTTTTTCTTTTCTCTTCATCTCTGTCCCTGCCACCCTATCTCTCTTCTTATCTCTCTATCCAACCAATAACTTACATCTCTGCCAGTCAGCAAAGAAATCCCCTGTAGCATTCAAACCCTCTCTCTCTCTCTCTCTCTCTCTCTCTCAATGCCTACCACTTCTGTCTGTCAGCATAGTAGTCTCCTATAGCATTCCATGCCTCCTCCAGTTGCACATCATCTCCCCCTGACCCAGTTTTCAGTAACTGGACCACCCTGAACCAATCACCAAGCTTCTTTCTCAGGGCTATGGCCAGGTCCCTGTCCAATGAAAAATGATATTAAACATCTTATAAACTGCTTATTTTTTTCCCTGGTGATGCCTGTAGGCAAATTTATATTAACAGATAAGATCTTAATGAAATTAGAAAATATTTTTGCAAATTTGTCCCAGAACACTGAAATCAAAAGTTGCTGAAGATCAGAGACAGAAAATGGGCATGAAGGGAAAATTTTAAAGTTGAGAAACTGGCTTGAATCAACCTGAATCGCAAGCTAGGCTGTTATATCTGGGAATGTCAGAAATGAAGCTTTAATGTCAGATTTTGGATATATGAAGGCTTGAAAATGAAGCTTGCTAGCCAATGCTGGTTCTGAAACTCAGATATTCCGTACCTTCTGTCCATCTCCATGTAAAGCCTCTCTGCCTCGTCAAACCTTCTGAAGTATGCCGCTACTTCTGCCTGCTTCATTGTCTCATTCTGTGTATTGAAATAATAATAACAATCATCATCATCATCATCATTTTGGAACTTTAAGTTGAGATCTACAGTACTAAAAATTTCTCTTATACATAAAAAAGGTCTAAAAGATATATAAAAGTCATGACAGTGTGTTCATAGACATGCTGAAAAACTGTGCTTAAATTGAAATATGTAAAATGAAATTAGCTGATGATTTTTTTTAGGTACTCATTGGTAAAAACAGAAATTATAATGTAATATTAATCAAGTAACAAGTAAAATGAAGACATTGTCAAGTTATTCTGAATCAAGATGAGTGAGTATATTATAATTTTGTAAATTTGTTCAGCTTTTTGTCTTAAAACATCTTTAAAATTGTTCATTAAAATATCCTAACATGTAGGGAAAAAATATTTTCCTGTTTACTTATTATTTTATTAACTCATTTTTAAAGCCCCACCTGTAAATTCCCCAGTCTCTTGATGAATTCTATCCCATGAAAATCTTTACACCTCACAAATGCACTGTCTGCTACTTTTAGGTTCAGCTGCTCTAAGGCTGTCTCTCCCAAAAGTCGCCTAGAAGGGGAAAAAAATCAAAATGTATTATAAAGTGATGAGTTTTGGGGAGACAACTGTTTTTATCAATTTTAAGACTAGCTTACGTACCATTATTTAATGAAACAAAAAAGTCTTATATGTTACTTGTACAGTCAGATTGGTTATCATGTCATTTACAATAGCTTTACACTTATTAACTGTGTGTGCGTGATTGTGTGCTTCTGTGTGCGTGCGCATGCCCAGGTATGTGTGAGTGTTTGATTACGTATGTGAACAACAATATAATAATTTCCCTGAAACATGAAAGTAATATATGAGTAAGTGTCTAAACATGTGTGCACGCATGCGTGTGTGAAAGTATGTGCAGACATATCACATAAGTTACTCACCACAGTCTGGGATGTGGGTTGTCCTCTATGAACTGCTGGGCATCTTCAATACCAACTTTCTCCAACAGATCTCTGCTGTCTCTTAATGACTGAAGGGAGAAAAACAGGAAAAAATAGAGCCTCACATAATGATTTACTTCCTAGCCTTAAGGGAGATTGAGCAATAAAACTTAAATTGTTCTATCAGCAGCAAATAAATTGCAAATCACTATTCATCATGAGCTTTATTTATTCAACGACAAATTTAAAAGCCAAAGTAGGTAAAGATGATTATTCAAAATACACAAAGAAACAATGTGCGCTTAATAATATCTTTTGAATCATTGATACAACTATTGGTCATCAGGACATTTCAAAATATTTTCAGTAAATCACTCCCAAAAAGAAAAGAAAATATCAATACATTTACATACAAAACTTTCTACAGCTGCTACTACATGACTTGCTTACCTTGATTTCAAGGTGTAGTATATTATCCGCAGTCGGATTTTCTGGATCCTTCATGATCTCGTCCAACAAAACAGAGGTGATCTCAAGGTCATTGAACTTGGCGATGTAGCCACTGCTTAATACTGGCTCCTAAATAGACATACAGAAGAAAAATAAGTAACAGATATCTAAAAGTATTCTATACATGATTTTTATGTCAAATTAAATTTTTTCGAGAGATGAAAGTTATTTTCTCCCTCTCAAAACTAATTGCTCAACCAGTCTCTGTACTTACATAAAATTTATGATACCATTTATGATTATAATAATGCATAACATAGTTCTAAATGAATCATAATATTAAAGATTTAATAATAATAATAATAATAATAATAATAATAATCTACCCACCTCCGGGTCCAGATTTCTGAAGATGTACATCCTGGTTTTCTCCATCATAGCTATCAGCTCACTGTTGTCCTGAAAATGAGTAAATAAACTAAATAACCTTTTTGCCATTTCATCTTCCAAGTCTTAAAAAAAGGAAAAAACGTGCAGCTGAATAATAACTTTCATTTATATATACAGATATGAACTAAGAGAAGTCTGTTTAGCAACTTTTCAAAATGATAAGGCTTTTCAATTAAAAGGCATGAAAAAACGAATAAATGAATCAAGTTTAAAATTAATGTTCTTATAAATGATAAAACAAGAAAGTCCTTCAAAAAGATCTAAATAAAGTCTTTACCTCTGCCCATTTCATATCCCAGACGTCTTTCCTCTCAAATTTCAGGTGCTCTCCCACAACTTCCTGTCCGTTGGCATCCGTGACCTTGGCATCAAGGTCAAAAAAGGTCATCACACCAGAAATGTCGATGATAGCCAAACGACTGAACAGAAAATGAGAAGTTCTAATATGAGCACATCAAACTATTTATACATTTTCAATTTAAAATACAGCATTCCTGAGTGGCAAATACTAACTGGCAAAGCTCTGAAAATTGAATTTATCAAAAAATTGCCTTGTAACAAGGGACTTATTTCTTTGGTTTCATTTAAAATCAGTTAGCAAATTGACAGATGTGTTTTTGAGAGAAAATATAACACAAGAATAAAATTGTTTCTGCAACTGGAAGGGGGAGAGTACTAATTCAAATGTATCGCGTCTTCTATCCCAAAGTAAATCAACTTTTTAGTCCTCAAATTAAGACCGATGTTGAAAAGCTTTTTTTTCTGTTTTTGTCTGAGACACCTTATCCCATTTTCTACTTACGTAGAGTTGCAGTTCAGCGCCATCTGGTGAGGACGACAGTTGAGGACATGTTTGTTTGACAGCGCCACCAGTGGCATTGTGTATCTGTTCAAGGTACCAGACTCGCGACCCTAGAAAGAGAATATAAAATAATACCTATAAATAACATATAATACATAGAACTGGGTCTTATTTCACAAAAAAAAAATAAAATAAATAAAAAAGAAAAAAAAAATGGATAAGCAAAGTCCACTTGCAATATTTTTTTTTCATTAAAGAGATTTTAATGATGATTGCCTCATAAATAAAGTTATTTGACCTTACTAAATTTATTTCTGTAACTGCTGAGTGTAACAACCTTCCCTGAGACAATCACAGTTAGGTGTACCAACCTAGTACCAACTTTTCATATAAAGGGGAAAATTTTCAAAAACCTCTGAATCATCCAAATTAAATTGAAAGTCAATTTTTTGGACAGTCAGTTGTATACTGTGTAATTTTTGTATTTGCTGTGGTTGATAGAAAGCCCAGCTCTATGACCACCAGCATTGACCCTCATTTATATTACAATAGAACAATGTCTACTTACAATGACCAGCATTTTGTCCGAGGCACTGATGCAGCAGATGGGGTCTTGTGTGGGCTGGAATGGGATATAATATAATATTAATTACTCTCTTTTAATATCAAAACTAATAACTTAATCTCATTTATTTAGGTATCTGTTCATATATTTATTTATTTTAATTATTTATTTATTTATTTTTTTTTGGGGGGGGTGTATACTCCACTTATATACTCTTTTAATTTCTTTAGTCAGTTAATCATATGAAATTACCTTCAAGTTGCTAATGTATCATAACTTTGACTCTTAAATTCAAGGTATCAGAATTTGACAAAATCCTGCCATTAGACTAATCTGCTTACCTGGAAAGCTTTGCTGAAGTCAATGTTATCACCTCCAGCTCCTGAAGGTACATCATCCACATGGTATAGCCTGGAATAATATAACAATTATAGGTACAATATGTGGTATAACCTGAACAACATAGTATAATTATGTAATCCAATGGTATAACTTGGAAATAAAAATACAATAAGGCCAGACAAAATTGCTGGGTATGTAAATGGGCATGGTTTTTCTGGATTTATTGGGGTTTTTTTTTTAAGCTAAAAAAAAAAAAAAAAAAAAAAACAAAAAAAAAAAAAAAAAAAACACCATTTTGTAAACAGGAATGAAGTATGTTGCATCAAATTTCTAATGTGAATTAATTAGCTGATACAAATGAAACATTTTCTCACTTCTCAGTGCCACCCCGTCTCTTCCCAGACAGGTCAGTTTTTCATCATATTTTTTGACACAGATTACATCTTAGATACAAAACAAAAATTTCCTTACTTCTCAGTCCCTCCCCGTCTTTTCCCAGACAGGTCCATGGTGGTCAGTTTCTGGGTTGTCTTGTACTGCCAGGTGTAAAACGCCTCCTTGGACGCTGCCACGATGTGGGTCTTGGTCATGGTGACGTAGCCAGGCTCTAGTTCTATGTACTTGGAGTCCAGGGGGGTGCCTATGGAGTTGCACAGTACTAGGACGTACTGGAATAAAATATGAAAGGATTTTGATTTTCATACATAATTCTAGAACTGAGCCACAATGCTGTATTTTCTCTGGTTAGAATTCCTCAACAGACATTAATTTTTTTAGGTCATAACTTATGATAATTTCATATTATATAACGCGTTGCCAGGGACAAAATTATGTTGCTTTTCACAATTCCGAACTCAGAAATGTTAAAACCCATATTTATTGCTTGAATGATCAACCACTGTTCAAAAAGTTAAAGAAATTGCTCCTCATTCTTAAAACTGTTGCATAATTTATCTAAATATACGTGAGTATGTGATTATTTTTCCACTAACCTGACCACTGACATCATCCGCCCTTGTTGCCAGGCAACAGTAGTCACCACAAGCAGAGATCGACAAGAGATTCTTCACATATTTCACATATCTCTGGAAGGAGAAAGTAGAGCAAAATGTGGTTCATTCACTTTACGTATCCTTAGGCTAAGACAAGAAGTAGAGAAAAATGTGAAGCATCCACTTCACATATCCCTGTCAACAAAAAGTAGAACAAAATGTGAATCATTCACTTCACACATCCCAGCAACAGAAAGTGGAGCAAAATGTGAACCATTCACAAATAATTACACATTTAAATCTTAGAGTGTATTTGATAAAGACATTATGGCCAGACAACTGACAACAATTATCTTTTAAAATAATGAAAACTATAAAATCTGACTTACTTCATTATTTTTTGTGTCCCAGAAGATAACACAGTGCTCTGCCCTCTCTGGCTTAGTGAAAGTATACACTACTGTGTTAGAGCAGTAACCCCACTGGAATATATAACATATGGATTATAATATAATAAGCTTACATCAATTACTGATAAATTTGAAACTGGTCCAGTTAAATTTTGCAAATTTGTTCAGTTACTGGGCAACATTTCTCTCCTAAGGCAGTGGATCCTGAGACTGTGTACATGCAACTGTTCTAAAACCAATGCCTACCTTGTAATCCGGTCTAATATTGGCGAAGTAAATAAAAGAGTCAATGGCCAGGGCAATCCTCAGACTTCCTCCCTCCCACGAACACGAAAACATCTGTTTTCCTGGAACCTTCAATGTCCGCAGGTGCTAGGAGAGAGAAAAAGACAAGGTCAAAGAAAAATTATGGGTGTTTACAATATCAGTTTATATAGACAGTGCGCACTCTGACATACTTTTCCAAGGTACAAAATAACTATCAAAATGGCACGTCCAAGGGCAGGGATGGGTTGGGCAAAAATTTTTTTTTTTTTTGCATGAATAAATTGCTTTTTTTCTTTAAAAAAATATAGATGTAATACCTTCAACCTTCTCACTTTCATGACTGGAATTTACATCAAATCTCCAGATATCTTCACTTGAGAATTAATAATTATTAAAATAATACAATAATAATAACAACAACAACAGCAGCAAATGCAGAAAATTCTGGTCTATATACCTCTCCAAAGGGAGTATAAAACTGCACAACATTGACATCCTTGTCAGCAGAAGCTGCTCTCTGTGACCCTGCCACTGCCAGGACAGAGCCAGTATGATTCCACTGTGACTTAGCCACCTGCATCCCTGTGTCTATCAGGATTGGGTCTGAAAATATGGACAAATAATACCAGTTATCACAATAAAATGGCATGGATTCATCTACACATTCAAGTGCATCACAATGATATATCTACTGTAACTAATGCCTATAGCAAGCAATGAAGTTCATTTTAGGATGTTTCTATACAGAAACATATTTTCTTATATTTCATATTTTCTGTAGATAACCCACCGAGATTATTAAAAAAAAAAAAAAACACGGACAAATCACGCATGTCTAGCAATGTGCCTGTAATTATAATTTTTCTTGCTATATGCTTCATCTTGCAGCTTTTTCAGACTTTCTATGATAACTTAATGGCATGTACCTATATATAATATGGCCTAAACCTGTATAAATAAGTGAAAAAGCTAACATACCTTTCCCTAACCTTTATTTTAAATGTTCATAAATCAACGAGACAAAAATGAATTGCTTACTTTCATCAGACTCGTTTCTCATAATCTGGCACCGTCCGTTGTCATAGACAATGGCCAGGCAGGGACAGTTTGGCTCCACAAACCCGTATTCTCCATTATACCACTCTATACCAGCAATATGGACAGCGCCAGTCACATTAGAGAGACAAAACACTGTCAGCTTGGACTGGTGGATAGATAATAATAATAATCATTATAATTATAAAAATAATAAATATTTAACAAACTGTAATAATTATGTTAAGAAAGCAACTGTGATAGTGTTTAAAGTGCTAAAGAGAGCAATAAAGAAAATAAAAACACTAGCAGTGTAATTGTACAATAGGCTACAAAGTAAACAATCAACGGTATGAGGCTTAAACTCTACATATATTTTCTATGTGGAAATTTAATATATGCCACTTACAATGAAGTTTCCTGTGTTGTCAAACACTTGTATTTCTCCATTTGTCATCCCAAACAACAGGATCTTACCATCTGGAGACCACTGGAATAATAACAAGGCAGCAAAGCTGTCAAATGTACAGACAAAAAGCAGGAAATAACTATGCACAAAATAGGCTACTGTCAATTCTGATGCAAAAGTACATTATGTTAAACTGCAAATTCAACATCAAATTTTAATTATGCTCAACAGGTAATACCAATGTAAGTAAAATGTGTAACAAGCCTAAGGCTTCAGGCCCATGGGAGTTCAAGTTCACACTTTGAAAATGTATAACTTCCAGAAAAAGAAGCCAATTAGACTACTTTTCCAACCCAGGCTGCATTTTAGTCCTGCATTTCTTTTTTGACATTTGGCAATCATAAGTAACATGGTTTTCCCATAATGGTCATCATGGCAGCAGCACCCATAATTGTTTTCTTCTATTCTGATGCAATATTACATATTGGTTAACAGCATAATGACCGTCAATTTTTAATAATAAAATATACGTATCATGGATTTTCAGAAAATGTGACTAGCATGGGTCTTCAAGCATGTAGAACTTCAAAGTCACACCTTGAAAATGCCAATATGTGAAATATGCTGAAAAGTGAAAAAAAGCATGACTTCTACAATAATGGCCCAATCATGCTGATTTTCGAACTTGACCTGCGTTTTATGAATATTCATCAGCTCTGTAAATATAAAGCCCAAAAGTAAAACTGCCTTCCACTTATCGTGTTTACAATGAAAGTGCAAGGCGC